CCATATGATCATTACCATCTATGGCTCACATTTATGAATGTGATCATCTTAGTTTAATAGGACATAAAATAATTGAAGTCATAAGGCAGTCTGCCTCATTTCAAAGCAAATTTACAATGAGAATGGAGTGTTCTTCCATAAGTACCTTTTAGACACCAGCATTTTCTCCACTTGGTATTTGCAGCTAAGAATCTATGAAAATTATCTATAGATAAGATAGGGTGCTGTATGCTTACTAACTCACAAAGGGATTTTTCCACAGATCCCAGAGACCCATGGCATGACTTTTTAAAAATAACTACTTTATTGAGATTGAATTCACACAACATAGAACTCATCCTATTAAAGTGTACAATTCACTGGTTTTTAGTATATTCACAGATTTGTGCAGCCATCACCACTATCTAATTTTAGATCATTTTCGTCATCCCAAAAGAAGCCCTATACCCAGTAGCAGTTACTCCCAATTACTCCTCCTCCCAAACTCTTGGTAACAACTAATTTATTTTTTGTCTCTATGTATTCGCCTGTTCTGGACATTTCGTATAAATGGGATCGTATAATATGTGGCCTTTTGTGTCTGACCTCTTTCGTTTAGCATACTGTTTTCAAGGTTCATTCATGTTGCAGCACTTCATTCCTTTTTATACCTGAACCCATGGTATGGATATGTCATGTTTGTTTATTCATTTATCAGTTGATGGACGTCTGGGTTGTGTCTACTTTTTGGCAGTTATGAATAATGCTGTTATGATCATTTGTGTTCAAGTTTTCACATGGGTATATGTTTTCAATATTCTTGAGTATATTGAGTAGAATATAGGCATAGAATTTCTGAGTCATATGGAATTCTGTGTCTAACTTTTGAGGAAATGCTGAACTTTCTCCAAAGTGACTGCACCATTTTACATTTCAACTAAGAGTGTGTGAGGGTTCCAGTGTCTCCATGTCCTAATCAATGCTTCTTGTCTACTTTTTACATTAAGGCCTTTCTAGTGGGTGTGCAGTGGTATCTCACTGTGATTTTGATGTGCAGTTCCCTCGTGACTAATGATGTTAAGCATCTTCTCATGTGCTCATTAGCCATTTGCATATCTTTTTTGGAGAAATGCATATTCAAATCCTGTGCCTATTTTTAAATTGGGTTGTCTTTTTATTGTACAGTTGTAGGAGTTCTTTATATTTATTTTAGATAAAAGTCCCTTATCAGATATATGATGTGCAGATATTTTCTTTTATTCTGTGGGTTCTCTATGCATTTCTTTATGATGTCCTTTGAAGCACAAAAGTTTTAATTGTGATAAAGTCCAGATTATCTCTTTTTCTTATGTTGCTTGTGCACTTGGCATTGTAGCTGAGAAACAATTGCCTAATCCAAGGGCACAAAGATTTATTCCTATGTTTTCTTCTAAGAGTTTTATAACTTTAGCTTTTAAGTTTAGTTCTATAATCTATTTTGATCTAATTTTTCATATAAGGTGTGAGGGGATGGGTCCACCTATTTTTTTTTCTTTTTTTGCATGAGTATCCAGTTGTCCCAGAACCATTTTTTGAAATGACTATTTTTTCCTCCATTGAACAGACCATGCATGTAAGAGTTGTTTTTCTGGTCTCAATTCTATTCCATTGATCTATATATCTATTCCTATGCCAATACCACACTGTCTTAATTACTGTAACTCTGTAGTAAGCTTTGAAATCAAGAAATGTGAATCCTTCTACTTTGCTTTTCCTTTTCTTCATTGTTTTTACCCTGATGGGTCCCTTGCATTTCCACATAAATTTGAGGATCAGCTTGTCAATTTCTGTGAAAAAAGCAGCTGGGATTTGGGTAGGGATTGCACTGAATCTGTAGGTCAGTTTGGAAAATATTGCCATCTTTTATTTCTAAGTATTATTTTTTATGCTATGGTGAATGGAATTTTTTTTAATTTTATTTTGATTTGTTCATTGCTAGTGTATAGAAATACAATTGATTTTTGTATATTGATTTTGTATCTTGCAACCTTGGTGAATTTATTATTTCTAGTATTTTTTTTTAATTTCCTATGGTATGTCTATATGCAAGATCATGTCATTGCAAATCAAGGTAAGTTACTTCTTCCTTTCCAGTCTGGATGCCTGTTATTTCTTTTTTCTTGCCTGATTGCCCCCACAAATGGATTTACTTTGAATGGAAGTTTTTCTTTATTTCATAGTAGTTAAGATTTAATACTTTGACTCTTGTAGCTCCAGTATTGAACTCTAACACAGACATGATAAGTTCAATCAGGCCTAGAAGTACACTATTAGTATGAGTTGTAGTAAATGTACTTGATACAAGAAAAAAATTTTGAGAATTATTATGGGACTAGAAGTCCTTCTAATATTACTATGAATGCAGGTGTGAAATCATCGTTGCTGGCTGGCATTATAGTTCATGTATTTAGAGCACTAACATGTTGATTTCTATCACCTAAGCTA